ATTGGACGTGAAATACCGGCGTAAACGCATTGCTGTCCGTCAGGCGCTCCGCAAAACACTGACAACCGTTTCGTATCGAAAGGCAGAAACTCTTTGCCATTGATTATCGAGACGTTTAGTTTGCCTTAAAATACAAAACAATAGATCAATAATTCTTGTGTTGTTTTAATATTAAAAGTTTTTTTCAAAAACAATATTTTTGCACAAAAAAACAATCAATAATTTTGGTATAAATACCATCGATGAAAGAGCGGACTTCTCTCATCCTATCATCATTGCTGCCATATATCTGTGAGCCATCGATAAAGTGTGTGACAGCACCGGCCTGTTCACGGGGTCCTGAGCTCATACATACATGCATTTAGTCAAACAAATATCATAATTATATATAAATTGTACATTATTTTATATTAACCTAGTTTGCAGGCACTGGTAGTCGCGGGTACACTGCGGACAAAGTTAAGGCACGTCCGGTTGAATTTGGCGTAGAAAAAGTCGTCAACAGGTATGGGTATGGGTTTACAGGCCGGGTGTTGAACCAATTGGCCGTTTTCGGTCACCAAACAACATGATAACCCCTCTCCAGTGTCGGCTGTTTGACAGAAAACAATAAATTAGTTTTATTTAAAAACTAAAAACACATTTCAATCGCAACTAAACCTCGAGTGTTGAGACCGAGACTCATGTCGTGATCTAAAAACTATTTTTGTTTGACAAACTTTGGTCAATATTTTTGGCTTAATATACATTCAAATAAGGATGTGATGAATACCTGTGCAAACTGGAGGAATAGGACCGACAGTTTCTGGTGCTCGACATCACCCGTTTCTGTTAACTATGAATTTTCATAAATTTAGTTTATATATGAGTTTTGACGGCAATTGACCACAAAATATAATTGTTTTGATTTTGCTCTCACATTGGCTGACAGTTGACGAGCGCCGGGAAGGTCTGAGCGGTTGACCGCAGACTTTCTGAAGGCGTCGATACCATCGTCGAAATGGGGCGGAACCAGTCGTGACAATTGGCTCATCGCTCTGTATTAGCCCATCAAATATGTGATTAATATAAATATAACATGTTGACAATGACATACCGGCCCCAAAGAGGGTGTTTTAGATTATTACAACTGCCGTCAATTGACCGGTACTTATATTTGTGGTCACATTTTGGTGGTTTCACACACCTATCGGTCAGCGATGTCTCATCCAAATCGTACTCATGAAGAAAATCGTGACATTTCTCAGGACTTAAACCCAATCTAAAAGTTGAGTGAAATTATGTGATTTAAAAAACACTACTTTAACTAAATAACTAAATACAAACTTTTTGACCAACGACCTCGATGTCTCGAGAATAAGACAACCATTTCTATTGATATCTCGCCGCAAAGTATCATGTGCGCCAAAGAAACCTTGATGAAAACTTTCCATCGTGTTGTTTTGTTGAACAAAACCTGTCACATGTGTATTTTGTCGCCCAATTAGCACTTTTGTATAATTAATGTAATCATACTTTTCTATCAGTCATTACCTGCTTTAATAAGTCTCTGTTCATTAGATAATTGTCTGGAAAAACTGCGTTTACCATCACTTATGGCTTGATTTAAAAGTTTGCGATCAATTATCACATTAATCGGCGGCTTTCGGTACCGTCGGGGAGGTCTGTACGCGACTAAAGCCAGTGATATATAAATTGTAGTAACTTTTAAAATAAATGGTCTTAAATTACATACTCTTTTTGAGCTTATATTTTGTGGACAGCCCTCTGAGAGGACAGCAAACACCGGTAACCCCTCTCTCCCGGTCACAGACATTGTCTGCCATTAGGGCTAAGTCACCAAATTCATAGAAACAGGAGGCGTATGGCATACACGTGCCCTCCAAGCCATCCGTTGTCTTGCATTTGCAAATTTTGTCGCCATTCCTGTCGTAATCTGATATAAATTTTGTAAAACAATTAAAAATTAATTAAAAATTACACGCAAAATATTAACGGCTTATTTGTTTTACTAACCATAGATTGTTATGTTATATCCATAGCCTTGGATTTACGGGCGAAAGAAACAACAAAAATGTCATTTTGTTATCATTAGAAACTGTTATGTTTATATATTTCACACTAATTTTCAATTGCCATAAACTTAATGGCAGTTAAATATATGATTATTATTATTACCGTTAAGTGAACATTATGTGCGAAATATAATTGTTTTTTACACTATTTTGTATTACTTTTCACCTAAAAAACAAACAAAACACTTACCAAACACTGCATCCGAAATACCCAAAAGTATAATAAGAAACAATATATCCTTCACTGAAGTATACATTTATTATTCCTCTTCTTCTTCCACTTCTTCTTCTTCTTGAGTTGAAGTGATTTCACAATAGATTCACACAATTTATGCACACATTTTGCCACATATTTCGCACGTAATAAAAAGTTTTGCTGCCGTTTTGAAAATTGTTAATTTCACACAACATTACGCTTAATAAACAGTAAAAATTTACTCTTTAATATGCATTTATTTTATATATTTATAAACCGTATAAATGGGATGAGATATACAGCATATAACGGGGTATATGACGGATATACGGGTATAACAATTGGAAACAAAAATAAATTAAAATAACAATTTGTAACTAATTTAGACATTAATACAGAGATTGAATGAAAAACATCTCATCGTTGTTGTAAACCGAGGGACACAATAAAAACAACAATTTTTGATAACTAGACGTTTATTTTGTTGTAAAAATATATGGAAAACACAGCAAATTTTTGGCCAAAAGACTTAAATTAATATTAATTAAATTGGGAACAATTTATGAATACAATAATAAAATAACAAAATTAAATGAACAAAAAACATACAACTAATGATTGATAAGATAATTATGAATGTGTTTTAATGCACGATATTTTTCTGGCCACACATTTTCAAAGTCCGTATACTTTCACTATAAAGTGTTGAACGACTAAATGAAACAACAAAAACAAAACTTAATTTATCATAAATTCAATTATGAAAATAATTGCTAAAATCGCTTAACACTGAAAAATTGGGACAAATGCTAGGCATAGGTATACATATCATAATAATGATCATAAAGTGTATGTATTAAATGACAAAAGTGTCATAAATATCTGTATAATACATATTAAATGCCAATACGTTTTGCCCGAAGTTTTTTTGCTAAACAATATCCGTAATTAAATGAGCCATCGCTTCAATGAACACCTTTTGGTTTTCATACACAAAAAATTGCTTAAAATTATAATTTGTTTTGTTTTTTATAATTATAACATATTATCAATTCATACGCTAATTAATATTTATATTCATGTATTAAATAGGTATATTTTGATTGTAATATATAACATAATACGAGCCCTCATTGAACCAAAACAAATTTCATCTATGCCTCTAATATGTGTTATAAATTATAATTTATAATTGAAATGTAATTTTTTAATTTGTTTAGCGAAGAGTGAAAATTTTAACATTATTTTTCTTGTTTATGAGGGAATAATGTGTTTATTATTTGTAACAATAAAATGATAATTACTTTCATTTGGCGGAAAACACTTTCTTTATTGTGTTTTTTAGAAAACTATTTTTCGTTTTGAAAATAAAAACAATAATATACTGTAAAATCGTCATTAAAAATATATTTAAACAATTTATTAAAAATACTCTACATGTATGTTCTTTATATTTTTCAAAATATGTAAATGATATTTAAATTATTACTTACATAAGGAAATAGATTCCACTAAAAAATTACCATGGATATTTTAGAATAAATAACTTTTATATATCATAAAATATATACCGAGAGGAAATTAAAAGTACTTCAAAATACACTCTTTGTTTTGAAGTACAGTTAACGCTCAGTTACTCAGTATATAATTAATTTGGGTTTTATTTATTAATTAATTGTAAATTATTTATTAATTATAACCTGCGTTAAGTGTGCTTCAAAATAAAGCGCGTATTGCAAACAATTACTACTGTACTTACAACTCGGTACAGACTATCTATAAGTATATGGCAGATATCAGGGCCACCCCTGAAATGTTTTCAATGTTAGTCAATGTAAAATATGGGAGGTTTAACCCCTGGCTTTTGCCATAGTTTTATGCTAGTTTGTACAATAGTCTGTACAATACTTGTTATTAATGCTAATTATAATTACTGTAGTGTTATTATTGTGAGAATATATTCGGTCATAAAAATTATCACAATATACAGAGAAAAGAGATAGTAATACCATATTTCCAGTGTTTAGCACTCATTCCTCCCTTAAGTATAGTTTTGGGCCATATTTTCCATGAATTCAGTCATTAAATAAAGGCTTATAAGTGGGGGTCAGCTCTTCCTCAGCCTATTACCAGACTTGATATTCATATTGCATACAAACAAAGAAATAATATTAATCCTTATATTTGTTTAAATATTAATGATTGAAAACGTGTTTATTTCTTAAAATAAAATGTTTCGACATTTAAATGTATTGGATATACAAATTCAATAATATCCACATAAAAGTGGATTTGAATTTTGAAATTTAAAAGTGATATCAAAAAAGTTATTTCAATCCCAAAGCGTTATCACAAACATTGTATTAGTTATAATCCGTTTAGAAATGTGAGTGACTTTCAAATATTTCAAAAACTATTTTAGTTTTAAAACGAAACTGTTTTCTAGATTTTTGTTTAAATCATAAAAATTTAAATAATAAAACAAATACACAATGTTTTACTTATGGATGACTTTAATATTGATGTACATAATGGCCGTTGAGTGCAAACCAAAAATAATCCCGTGCTGTAAGTACTCATCAAATCATATAATTTAACACTAGTTTAAACCAAAACATTGAATCAATTAACACATTGATAGCAAACCATAACCGGAAACAGGAGGTAAGGGTCACGCCGTGCACTACAAACCCCTGTATACTAACAAAGGGCACGACCGGCACGTTTGAGGTGGTCTTCGAGGCGCCCGACGATTCGCAGAGACTGACCGCTCAGATGTCGGCCATCATCGGTGGTCTACGACTGCCGGCCCCGCACTTTGACCGCAACGTCTGCAACGGTTACGGAGTCCAGTGTCCGGTCACTAGAGGTCAAGAATATCGCTATAAGTATGTGATGAAAGTGTTGGCCGAATACCCGG